GAAAACTGCTGCCTGCCCTGTTCTTATTCTGAATGTGCAAGAGAGATGTATTCATGAATATAATAGGCAATCATCTTTCCTTTACATTACTTCCTATTCCTTATAAAAAAAAGTAAGAGAGTGAAGGAAAAGGACCTGGTCTAATTTAGTAGGCTTGAGATAATGGTAAAACAGTATGCAGGCTGTAGTTTTGTGCTGTCTATGTCTTTGCCATATCCTGTTCAATTGTGCCAGATATATTGGGTTATACATCATATTATAGCTAATATTTTTGTAGCACTGATTCGTTTAGATGTTCACTTTCAGAAATGTGTTAGTACTGTTGTCTGATTGTAATATGGGTGAAATACAAATGCAATTTAAATTAAGCACAGTTACCAGTAAGTAATCTTACAGGTCCTTTAAGTTATACTTCCACTGTACCTCTTGATGATCGGTATTTCTTTTGATTCCCCTACCTAAAAAGAATTCCATGAACAAAGGGATATATTCTATCTGCCTGCATCAAACCAAGAATTCATTCTCCTTCATTTCATTTTTGTTTTGTAATTTCGAAGCGTATAGAAGAAGAATATAGAATTTTCTTAGCTTTTATGTGACCATTAGGTGACTCCTATTTAGGAAAGAAAGGAAAGCAGTATTACGAATGAGTGATGAAAAGTTATAAGGCAGTATGCATTTTTAAGCAAGAATTAAACTCCTTGTTCTATAATAATGTGCGATAATTTTATATAATAATTTTGTTTAATAATTTTATTTAAATAATATTCAACTAAATATTTTTAGTTAAATACTTAGTCTTGTGATTGAAAGATCCTGGTTTTAGATTTGGTGATTGCATGGAAAAACAAAAAGTAGTGTCTTACCCTTCCTGCTCTAAAAAAGAAATTGTTTTATGTACTTAAAGTTATCTGTAGGAATTTAACAGTTATTGTGCTGGATGTGATTATGAAAAAAATACCTGAAAATAACATAGTAAGCTAGATGGACCAGTCAAGACTCACTATATGATTCCAAAGGCTATAAATTCAATTCTGTTTAATACTACTAGATAGATGCTTAGGTATAATGAAAAAACAACTTCAAATATCATCCCTCTAGCCCATTTTTTCTTCTAAACTGCAACTTTTCTGCTTTCTTTTATTTTGTAATAAACTGCATTGCTTTCTAGAAAGTAGAGCTTAAATTAAAATTGTCTTGAACTCTTGATGTTCAAGTCTTTAGTAAATATATGCATTAATTTATTTTTAAAGCAAAACACTACGAGAGAGAAACTAACAGGTTTTTGAATTGAAAGCTACTTAAAATAGTGGAAGATGTGTTTTTAAACATATATTCTCAGCAGGTTTAAATTGAGTCAATTTTTACAGTGTGCTAGATCACATCTTTAAGAAAGAAACGAAAAGCACTGTGTGACAGACTTTATGGCACTGAGTGTGTTCATGAGCACAAAATCATTTATCTACAATTTCATTTAAAGTTGTCTAGACTGAGCCCTGTGGCTGTCTATCAGTGTATCTTTACCAACCAGAGCGGTAGAAACTGCTCTAGGTTATTAGGAATTAGTCATTTATCTCTCGCTACAGTTTCTCTGAAACTGTAGGAGAGGAATGAGTGCCTGCAGATAAAAAATTAAGGAACAGAATCATGTCCAGTCATGGCAAGAGGACTTTCTGAGCATTTTGAGTGTGCAAAATTAAGCTCTTAAATTAAAAGGGAGGCTGAAAGGCTACTAGTAGGCGACAGTGCATGCTATGTCCAAACTGGCGTAAGATATGCTCCTGTTGAGCTTAAACATAGGTATATTCAGTGTAGACAACTGAGGACTTTGAGCTTGAGGACAGACTTCTTTTTTGATGCTGTCAATATAGATTTTGATCCATAGGTCTTGGACAAATTTGTGTTGTATTGAACTTTCCAGAACCGCGTAGGCTGAAAATATTAGAGATGAGTAAAGAGGTCATATCAGAAATTTTAGGATAAATGCCAGTAGAGATCAGAAAATGAGAAGAGTGCCTGTTATGAACTATGAGGGAAATCAATTTTCAAAATTTCAACTGGGTACTGAACTGTTTTTTTAAGCTTTTATTTTTGATTGAGCTAGAATGTTGTTCATTTACATTAGTAAGAACATAGTCAGTTAATCAACAAAAGTGGTTACTCCATAATAGTGTTCCTTAGATCATATGTAAATTCTGTTATCAGCTGTAGGCCTCATAATGCATGAATAAACTTGAATGGGGGTCACCAATATGGTCGGGGTCTGGAGCAGAGAATGTGTTAACAGAAGGTTGGGGAGCAGAACTTATTCAGCCTGACGAAGAACTTGTGTTAGGCAGGTGGAGTTCTTGTAAGATGGACCTTCTTAGAAGAGAATCTAATAATTTTTTATGGAGTTACGCTCTTTCCAAACCTGCACAATACTTCATACTTTGAAACCAGGGAATTTTCAACATGGCATAAAAAAAAAAACAAACCAAAAACAAAAACAAACAACACA